CATTGCCCGCGACGACCCTTCGTCCCGACCACTGGGGGGGCGACATGGTACCACCGCACACCCCCGCGTCCACTAGCGACCAAAGAAAAGCAAGCCTTGCCTCTAGTGTGCGCGGGCAGAAGGCCTTGCTCGGCAGGGAATACCTCGACCGAGGCTCCTCGCCGCCGTACCAAAAAAGGCAGGACACCCAGCTCGCGATGGGCCGTCCACGCCCCGGGGAGAACTACCCCCGAAACGGCCCGGCTACATCGCCGGCCAAACCGGCCAGTTCCCTGCACTACCGGTAACAAATTGTCGAGCTAAACACACCGAGCGCACACTTAGAAAATTTACAAGAAATGTCATACACATCAGAGGCATTCAAACAAATACGAAAAACGAGCATAAAACGACATGCAAATAACGAGCGCACACTTAGAAAATCCACGATAAATATATTAAACAAAAGCGGCACCAGCCCAGTAGTCAATGGTACAAATACAGAGCACGCAGGCCCAAAGAAAAGAGATAACAAACATCGGCACGCAGGCCACAAAAACAACGAGCACGCAGGCCCGGCAACCTATGCTTCCTCGTCCGCCCGGTCAGCAGCCACGGGTTCCTCCTCGGGGATAACAAGATAGGGATCGATCACCTTCCCATCAACAATCTCGTGGTACGGCCCTATCCCGTCCACGGCCAGCACGACACCAGGGTTGGCGACCTGAATCTGCTCGACGGCATTCTTGAACCCGACCTCAACAGCCTCCAGACAATCGCTCTCCAACACCCAGATACGAGCGATCAGGTCAGCACGGGTGATTAACCGTCAATCCCCGTCAGTCTCGTCCTCGGCCGGACGAACATCGCTGTCCAAAACCTCCGTGCGAACCTTCAGCGCCTGCACCTCGGCCGTCGCTGTCCCCAGTTTTTCCTCCAGCGAAGTCACCTTCCCCTCAGCACCCTCTGCCCGTTTCCGCTGCTCGGCAACATCCTTCTGGCTCTTCTCCAACTCCTCAGTGAGCTTGGCCAACCGCGACTGCATGAAAGTGAGATCCCCTTGCAGTTTGGATAGCTCAGCAGCGGAGCAGCCCTCCTCGTTCAGCACGAGAGCCGTCGTGAACGTCCGCATCATTGCGGCCAAGTCCTTAGCCAGGACACGTCGACGGGTCTCTCAATCAGCCTGACGAACAGCCTTCACCTCCCCGGCGGAAACAGTGGGAGAACGGGCACCATGAAAATATCCCGGATGCTGGTGGCAGGGAGGGACGACATAACCTTCCTCGACGGCGCCGACCGTCAGATCCACCACCCGAGGCTCCTCGGACCTTTGCCTCTTCGACGCTCCTTGAGACACAGGAGATTGGCTCTCTTGAGGCGACGAGGACGAAGTTTTCCCCCCCTGCGTCGCGACCTCCTGTCCGACCAGCTGACTCACCCTCGTCCTCGGGGCCACGGCATTCCTAGCAGCGCGCAACTGCTTCACCCGCTCCTCGACGGAAGACATGTTCGCTGCAAAAATAAAGAAATGGGTTAGCGACGATCAAAAACCCCGACCACGGGGGGGAAACGAACATTCCTACCTAGATAATCCAGAGCGGCCGCCCCGGTCGCACAACCGAGTAAAGTCTTAGTATTTATCAAACGCTTCTTGGTGCGTATGTTCCCCTGAGCGTCAAGGATATACCGACCGTCGGGCGTCACCAGCTTCGACGGAGGGAGAGACCGCACAAAGGCAATTATTTTCAAATAGGCGGCCATGTCCTTCTCCTCGAGGGTCCCCGCCCGGACAATATACCTATCCGTCCCTCGGCTGAAATGCTCCGCAGTCCACAGTAGATGTATCTTAGGAAGCCACGCGCGGAACCGCTGGCCATCTACCGTTCGCTCGCCCTCGTCGAAGAGAGTGTCTGAGCCGTGCTGCGTGATCGGTTTGACGAGGTAGAACCCATTTTTGAAGTCTTTGACAGAATCGCTATACGCTTTGAAAATTTTGGTCGATTGCTTGAAGGAGACTCATCCGTGGCGACCGTGCACCGTCTGCCGCTGCAAATGGAAGATACGGAAAAATAACGGCACCGTCGGTTCCACCGAGAGGTAGAAACACACCACCTCGAAAGCCCGGATGAAGGCCAAGGCATTAGGGTGCAGCTGGGGCGGGGCAAGACGCAGCCAGTCAAAAAGCCCCAGATGGAAGACGGAAAACGGTAACCGGAGCCGAGCTTCTTTAAAGTAGAATTCATGCATCGGGAACATCCGCCGCCCATATCGCGAACAGATGCGGTGATGTTCTTTTGGCCGGTACACCTGCCAGTGCTGTGGTTCTCCTATGGGCGTGTCCTCGACCGTGGCGTACACGTCGGACGCGTTGGCCACAAAGCAAGAAGGGGTAGAAAGTGGCTCCTCGGCCGCCCACTCCTCGGACGGGGCAATACGCTCGTCGTCATACTCCGGAACCTCAGGTTCATTGTCTTCGACCATTATCCCCGGCACCAGAGCCGACATCTACACCTGAAAGCAGAGGACAACGGTGAATTCGATAGCCAGGATCAAATCCACCCTTCCACCGCAAGTCAAGTGAAAGGGCGACAAAGGCCGGGAAGCGACGAGCAAACACTCGCTCCCCGTCTACCCTCCTCGGGGATCAAAGACCGACCCCTCGCCCCCTCTCGGGACGGCCATCGGAGAAGGTACTTCTCCCCGGGGCATTCATCGGAGAAAGCCCCCGTCCTCGGGGCATTCATCGGAGAAAGCCCCCCGTCCTCGGGGCATTCATCAGAAAAAGCTCCCGTCCTCGGGGCATTCATCGGAACCAGCCTACCCTCCCCGGGACATTCATCAGAAAACTCGCCAGACACGGCGGAACTCGCGTCCCTCCTCGGGGCGTTCATCACGCCCCGACCACACGTTCCAATTAAACGACGAAAATAAAAAGGAGGGAAAAGAGGGACTCACTTGTAACAGCGGCGGACGGAAGAAAAGATCAACGGTACGGCGGCGGTCGGCGGTAAGCGGCGGACGAGCAGAGACGATAAAGCTTAGCAGAGAGAAAAGTAACAGAATGAGCGGGGACCTCCATATTTATAACCCGGCGCGGGACTCGAAGCGACCCTAGACTCATTAATGACATAGGGTAGCCGCCCCTACGACCGCTTAACGCAAGACACGTGGCGACAACCTGACAGTCGCGTCCCTTCGCCTGCCTCCTCCCCGTTCTGCCGACGACCGGAGATCTTCGTGCGAGTGCCCGCTCCAGATGCGACGACCTTAAGTCCTCGCTCTTTCCCCAGAGCTTCGACTTGGGGGGCTCCTGTTCCGGTATGGGCCTAACCTCGGCAGGCCCATTACCGCGTGCGGCCCAACAAGCGAACCGGGCACGCCAGGCACGCGCCCCCTTCGAGACGAGCAGGGCAGGCCGCCGAACACAAGCTACGTCTCCACACCCTTTTTGTCGTCCACCACGTCGGACGAGCAGAACCGCCCGGGCTCCCTTCCGCGGGGAGAATAACGTGCTCGGCGCACGTTCTCCACGTGCTCCCCTCCGCGGGGACACGTCACCGGCCAGCTGCCCACCTCCGAAAGAGCAGGTCAAACCCACTTTCCGGGGATCTAGGGGCAGTTGAACTAGGGCGAAGACCACGTCCTGGTCTTCACTACGCCACGTAAGCCCTAGCAGTCATTAGGGTTGGGCCTGGTCATCCAGCCCACCTCGAATGACCGTTGGCCCAGCGCTGGGGTCTCTCTATAAATACCCTCTTCTTCAAGAGGGTCAGGTAATTCACATCTTGCCCCTTTTCTATACTTTGCTCTCACTCTGCCCAATTTCTTACTTTGGCATCGGAGTATCTTGCAGGTACACCCCCCTCTCTCCTCCTCATCACCGGTGAACAGGTAGCAGCCCAGCAGTGTGTGGCCAGCCCGTGATCCCCTCCTGATCAGGTCAGATCAACAACCATTTAAGATGTGTGTTGTATAATTGGTTAATTTAAAAATTAAGACCGTTTTAAGTTTTCAGAGGTCTTATGTAGGTTAAACATAGCTTAACTGCGAAAAATAAATAGGGGTTCTATTTTGTTATCGTTTAAACATAATCAGTACTTTTTAGGCCATTTATAGCCACGACTTAGTCGTGGAAATGTTTACACCCTATCTGATAATTCATCTTACACTCCCTTAAAAACGGTCCTGTTAAAAGTCATACTTGAGATATGATTCGTCTAAATTTCTATAAGCAACATCGATTTTAAGTTCAACAAGATCGTACATAACCGACACAAATCAACAATCGCATGAAATACATGCATTAAAACACAATTTAACAACATTAACATCATACAAAATACAATTACGCTAAAATCAACATGTGAGCATCCATGTCATAAATATATGAAAACTTAAATAAATGACATGTCATAAGAGATAGTCTAATCATACAAAAATATATTCTCGTGATGGCGCAAGTGATAGATCCTCTCAAAAGAACCCATTCAAGAATCGACATAATTTCCTTCAAAATCACTAAAATATATTTTAAAAAATAAATGTGTTCATAAATAAGAGATATAAATAACAAATCAAATAAATGATCCATTATACTTAAACACGCTTAAAAAGTACTTTGACTCAAATACACGAGCAATATGTTATATACATTCCAAAGTTCAATATTGATTTGTGCTAATATTTGTTGTTTATCAATTAAAATGTAACTAAAGCTATAGAATATAAGAAGAGATAAGAACATCAAAATAATTGATAAAGCCTCATAATATAAAATTGTTTCTTGATGCACAATTTGGAGTCCACTTTGAGTATTGTCCTACCCTAAAATTTGAAGATTTTTCTTATATAGTATTGTCCTACTCCAAATTTTATTTCTTGCAAAATTGAGTTCCCCAATTTGTTGTGTGCTTAAATTAAAACAGATGAGTTTTCCATCTTCTTTTAACAATAATATATCGCCATTTTTTCCTACTCCCATTGGATAGATAATGTAAGGTAAGGGGCAAACAATAAATAATTTAATCAAATGATAATAGATATAATCTGTTACCTTTATCATCATTATAGTTGCCTTCACGCCACCAATGATACATTCCATCCAAACACACTCTTTTATTTATATATTCATGGTGTATATAAAGTTCAAGTTTCTTCCAAGAGTTACTTAGTAAGCTATATATCTCCCAAAAGAGATTGTGATATATTTTTCCCGATGACACAATTTCAGAGTCATAGTCACTTTCTATATCACATACTAGTCGAATCACCTTATAGTCATCTCTAACACAATCATAGCTAAAACCATGTTCAGTAATATCATGTTTCATACTTGGTATGAAATCAAAAGGGTTGTTAGGAATAACCTTGAATTCTTCGGTAGCCGGGTTCCACAATACAAATTTTACACTTGGATGACAGTAACTAATTAGACAAAGAACTCCACTAATAATACCAGATCCCAAAATATCAAATTCAGGATCCTCTTCTTGAAATGGATTTGGCCAATTTAAGCGTGTCATATTCTCATAGCTCTCATCAGAATAAGAATACAACACAAGTTTAAGGTTGAAATTAATAAGCATAACATGATGCAAAAAGAGAGATGTGTCATGATAATAACAGTCGTTATTATATAAGAAGTTGTCACAGAACAATCTCGTGAAAATAGAGTTTGTAAGCAAAAGGGCCCATGGTTTGCATACACATTCAAAACGCTTCAAAGGTTTAATAGACAATTTTGACAAAATAGTAAAGACAAGATCATTAGGTATGTCAATGTTAACCTTTTTATTTCTTACGCCCGCCGATTTCTTCATAATAAGAGTCTTTGGAGTTGGTATGCAATTGTAACCATCATAATGAAATTAATATTGAGACAACCTACTTGACGTCAATTTTCACTTTCTCGAGTGAGAAATTTAAAACATTCATTGAATTTAAAAAAATAAAATAATATTGTAATTTACTAATATTAAACTTATAAAGGTAAGTTAATTAATTTTGTATTTTAACACCTATGTTAGTATATTCTAGAAGTAGCTTTAAAATATAATTTTATTAAAATAAAATAAAATCTTAAAACAAAATTTAAGGGTTTTAAGCAATGTGTTTAAGTCCTTCATTACTTAATTTATATTGTACTTATCAAAAAGTACAGGTGTGCATGTTGCCCATACAAGGAAAGGAGTACTCAGAGGCCTTAGTAGGTTTATAAGAGTTTGTATAGGTCATTCTCACGTGATATGAGAGGCAATATTCTACAAGCTTGTTGCTTTAGGAGTTGAATGTATAAGTTATGATCTTTCCCTATCTCCCATTTACGGGAGAAGTATTTATATAGGCCTTTAGGCATATGGTTTATTGGGAAGGATCACCGCCCACCCAGACAATGGTGGATCATTGAATCCTTATATCCTAAGGGGTGTGGCCCAACTACTGACCCTGACTTCTCTCTGACCAAAAGACATCATTTCCTATGTTTTCTCAAAACTGGGCGAGTGGAGGATGGTTGGGGGTGAGGCGATACCTCTAGAAGGGTCACATATGGTTTGTAGTTGCATGCCCCTAATTCATTCAGGGGAAACACCTATATTCGGTTATTTTATGACTTGTCTTATCGCTTTCATCTTTGATTTAATTTTGATTTATTAAGTCTTCTTCATGATTGCACTTCTCGGAATCAAGTTTGAAAAGATTCATTTTTAGCATGCATAAACCATTGGTTAGGTTTGATCTTGATCATGATGCTTTATGATCAATTACATAAGTAAGTGAAATGAAAATATTTTATGTTTTTTATTTGAGTTTGATTTAAATTAAAATCTTAAACTGCTTTTAAAAATATGAAAATTTGAGATTTTATGCGTTTGATTGGAATCATGGAAATTAAACACATTTTATGATTCAAATCAAATTGGATAGAGGCATGGAATTTTCAGACCATTTGATTCAAATCAATTTTCTGGTGTTCACCTCATATTGATTTGATTCGAATCAAATTTTGAACATTATATGAATCACACACTTTTTTAACATTTTCTAGTTGGGCATGATGCATTTGATCTGAATCATTTTTTGTACATGATTTGAATCACGAGGTCCATGATTTGAATCACACATACCTCGTTATTCAGTCAACTAACAAATATTCAAAATTCTATTCTTTTTTCTTTTTTCCACTTCACTTGTTCATTTGATTCAAATCATGAATTGCTCTTGATTCAAATATAACTAACTTTTTCGACCATTTTATGTGATAAATCTCAATCACATATAAAACCTTTTTGTCATCATTTTTCATATAACATCTTATCACTCTGATTATATTTTTTAGTGTGATTTAGTGAAAAATAAATTTCCTCTATTTTGAGTGTTCAAAGTCTTGCAACGAAATTCTTGCATCTTCAACTTCAATTTGTTTCAGATCTTGATAACGAGAGATTTGTAATTGATTGAAGGAGACAAGTAGGGCTGGAAATGAGTCGAGTCGAGTCGAACTCACCTCAGCTCGGCTCGACTCGTTAAGAATTGTTCGAATTCGAGTTCGAGTTCGAGTTCGACACGAACTTTTTTTTAAGCTCAAACTCGACTCGTTATAAGTTCACGAACAGTTCGATTCGACTCGTTAGGTTCATCTCATTAGGTTCAGCTCACATGGTTCACGAACTTAAAAACTATTTTTTAAAATATATATATTTTTTAGTATATTTGACATTTTAAATAAATATATATTTTTTAAATAAAATATTAAAATAAAATAAAAGTTATCATATTGATATTTAACTTTATCTTCGAAATCTACTAATTCAAAACCTACACAACTTTCAAGAGATACATTTGAGAGTCTAACTCAAAAACTACTAAATTGAAGATTAAATTTGTCTAAGATTTGAAGTAAATATTTAAACCTAATCTTAAAGACAGTATAATTCTTTTCATATGTAATCGAGTTGACTCATGAACCTAACGAGTCGAACTATGTATAGTTCAAGTTCAGCTCATTTAGTTAACGAACTTAATTTTTCGCTCATACTCAACTCATTTGGTTCATGAACCTAGTTCAACGATTTAATTGTCGAGTCGAATTCCGAACTATCTTCGAGTTGGTTTGGTTCATTGCCAGATATAGAGACAAGTAACACCGTACTTCCCGACTCGACAAATAATCAAATAAAACAAGTATAATACATAAATTCTTCAAGAAAGATACTACTCAAACATAAAAAAAAACATACATGAACCATATAATTGAAAATTAAATCATTTTATAAGTAGCGGAAATTATAAAATATTTGGCATTAAAAAGCCTCGACAAAATTATTAGTTTGAAAAGTGGTTCAACATCAAAATAAATGAAAATATTTACAACCTAATCAGAATAACAAAATAACTCATTCCCCTGTGTTACATATCAGAGTGACTCTAACTATAATACTCGATCGAAAAGAAACTAAAGAGGCATAACACCATCCTCAATATCAAGCAACTACTCAGGTACCTGATTGTCTGTACTCTAGAGGAGCACAGACACAATAATACAAAATGGGGTGAAAATATGTTCAAATAATAAATGATGCACGAAATAATCAGAATAGATTCACACATAAAAAATTATGCACATATCAAATGTGTACCACGATATCACGTATTCATATCTCACCCAAATCACGATCAATCACACAAATAATACAAAAGTATTCATTATTACACATACATCTCATTTGCACAACCATTATATAACGTAATGCAACATCGACTCAACTCATGCTCGTTACAGACCTCACTCTGAACTGGCTTGCAACTCAACTCTATATACATGTGGTATCGACTTAACATTTGGTTCTTCATATAGATAGGATTCCAACATCTGAACCCCGAGCCACCACTCTAAGTTTGGTACAAGTCACTAGTCTCCACTCTGAACTCGTGACTATTCTTTTTCACAAAATTAATAACATATGATGCATCGCATATCACAATGCAATGACAACAACACAATAATGAATACATCCCTATAATGACTATAAACATTCATACAACCACAACAACATAATAATAAATAAAACACCACTCTGACCGTAATTGATCATGCACTCAATGCATCACCAGTAGTTCTCACTTTGAACTACTCATCTCATTAAGTATGTATAATATTTCACATAGTCAAAATTGCATTTCACAACGTATATTCACACATTTAAAATACATTCACACATTATTATAACATGTTAATTCATCTCACAAGGCACTACCATAATGTAGCTCTGTACCTTAGCTTTCCAACGCCTCAAACCGCGTCTTAATTCGAGTCATGAAACTCAAGTTACGACAATTCGAGTCGCGAACAACAACTTTGTGTTGTCATCCTTACCAGTCGAGCAAAACAGCTCGCTGGGCGAGGTCATCAAGATCTGCAGCACCAAAAGTGCAATTTTTGCTCCAACAACAGCTATGTAACCCTAAATTCCACTTGAAAACATCCAGACAGTCCATAGTTGATATATACATATTTACCACATATTATCATGTTGATTCTCATCGATTTAACACGTTTTCCATCATTTAAAAACAAAAAATCAGATTCATAACAATACACCGAAAACTCCTCAATTTCAACACAAACACCTCATTCATGAGCAATTTGACATAAATAACAAGCCATACAACATCAAGTACGCATTTTTAGTCTAATTCATGGTATAAAGCATAATCACATTCATTTAAATCATCAAACAATCAATCAAAAAGAAGGATTGAAATCCTATTGGAGGTTAAGGGAAACCTTTCTACCTTTTCATGATCAAGACGCCATTAGATGAATAATTCTCCCCTTACCTTGTGATTCCAGCAAAAGCAACCTTCTATGTGATCTTCTTTCTAAAGCCCTAACTTTCTCTCCAAAAGTTCTTCCTCTCAATTCTTCTCTTTTCACGTTTACTGTAAAACTCCCAATATTCCTTATTTCTCTATTTTCTAATTATATAATAACCTAATTAAATTTCTCAAAATTTAATTTTGGCCGAACTAACAACAACTTCTCTCCATTAACCACCTAATTCTCCTAATTTACAAAATTAGTCCAACTCCTCATATTCTACAAATTTTCTATTTATTAATTAATTAATTAAATTCAACCAAAAACTAATTAATCAGCACAATTCACCATAAATGTCGGCATCGACCAAACACGTCATAAATCACATAAAAAATAATTATTTAAATAAATCACTCAATTAAATCAAATAAATAATTAAATAAAAGACTAATTAAGTCAGGGTGTTACAAGGCATGTCCTTGAAACTAATAGTTCTTAGAGATCTGATTATGTTTTTCAAGTTGTTTGCAAGATTGAGGTGATTGTCAATGGCAGTGACAAATTCCATGGAAAATAAATAGGTTATTCTCTCCAGAATTGCCTTAGTAGTGACTTTGTGGAAGGTTACAGATAAGGCGGAGTTCTTCTCAAATCTTTGAATAATTCATCGCTCAAGGAATCGGTAGGATTAAGGGGTTGATAGCTACACACGATGGCTTGAAGCAGATTGATTATATTGGAAGATTAAAGAAACGTAATTCGAGTAAAGATTACATAGAAGAGTTTGACAGTGTGTTGTATACAAGTCAAGATCCAAATAGGAGATTTTAATTTTCTTAGTTGTATTGTGGATTGGTGATTGTATGAACTCTTGCAAATATTTATTAAATAACAATGAACTATATAGGTTCTAATGGAAAACCAATGAAGATTACATGTAGGCAAAGCGAGGAGGAACACCGAAGCACTATAGATCTCGGTGTCATCTCTCTCTCTCTCTCT